AAGTAGAGAACAAAGCTGGAACTGGGTAAGGGAAACTGATGTGTTCTGGCGATAGATTATTATTACTTAGTCCCTCCATCCCACAATATAAGATGTTTTTGCAAGCTGTTTTAGCTTGCAAAAATGTCTTATATTATGTGACGGTGGGAGTAGATCTTGTGTTAGTAATGTGCGTTTATACATTTTATATATGTATGATCTGCCAATTGCTCCTGGGAAGAGAATGATTTTTTTTATGAAAATAATGATTTGGCAGGAAGATGAGAATATTAAGAAGTACCATCTAGTTAATTGGCAGGAGATTTGTCAACCTAGAAAGCAGGGGTGTTAGACTTATCTGCTTAGTACTCCCTCCGTAAAGAAATATAAGAGCGTTTAGATTAGTACTTTAGTGATCTAAATGCTCTTATATTTTCTTATAGAGGGAGTAGATTACCATGGAAGCTCGAAAACGAGGAGGGTTTATGGTAGGAATTAATTAGGATTAAATACCTTAGTAATGTTACTTTGTCTCGGTGTAAATTGAAACCTGTGCACTCCCACTTCTGGTTTGATTAATGAAAGTAAAAGATGTCCTTTTAAAGTTTTGTAGGAAAACAAGTTCTTCAATGGTGAGAGAACCAGGTTTTGGGAAGATGTCTGGATCGGTGATGTTTGCTTAGCTATCCCAGATTGTATAATCTTTGTAGCGATAAGAATTGTAGAGTGAATATCCATTTCTGAGCCCATGCTCATCGACAACCGGTTAAGAGAAAATAATAATAAAAGCAACCACAAAATTTAAAAAAATGTTTTTTTGCATGGTAGATGATTTGGTGGGTTAGATCTGCTCCAAATTTTAGATCATTTGGACATATGAGGAACTCTCAGCAAAAAAAAAAGACAAATTGGGTCAGAACAGTAAACTATTTCACAAACCTCAAATTTGCCTTTTTTGCCGAGAGCTACTTAGATGCCAAAATAAGCTGAAATTTGGAGCGGACCTCACACACCTTGAGCGTCTTTCATGCAAAAAAAAAAAACATCGTTCATTGTGTTGGCTCAATGTCTTCACCTGTGTTCGCCGACGATGATTCACCTGTGTTTACAATGAACGATGATTCACCTGTGTTTACAATGAATAAAATCATCGTTCATTGTGTTGGCTACACCTGTGTTTACAACTGCATCTCTGCATCAACATGAAGCGTTTGCCAGAAAGAAAATTGCTACAACGCCTGCACGGCTGCACTGTTGGCTTGTTGATGACAACCAACTCACACTTGATGGTGAAGCGGTCTCCTCGCAGCTTGGACTTGTGAGCCAGTCGGATATCGCCATAACCAATATTACCGTCGGACGTAAATTTTTGGATCAGCAACGGCCCAGCCGGGTGCACCTTGCCGCCTTTCTCCCGCAGGCTTAAGCGGTAGCACACCTTGACCCCCGTCTCCGCCGCCGGGCCGCCGCGGAGATGCAGGAAGGCCGCCACGTGGTCAGGCGCCCGGCGGTCGCCGTCAGGGTAGAAGTAGATGTTCCAGTCGTAGCCCCCGACGCTGAAGGTGCTGGAGCTGACGTACTCGTCGGCGCCCGATCCCACGAGCAGCGAGTAGTTCTTGACGACGAACTTGTGCGCCGCCGTGGTGGCCTCCGTCGTGCACACCGGCGAGTGCTCTGCCCAGCAAGAGTAGAAGTTCCCCATTGCTTTAGGTACGTCTTGACTGCTCTCGCTCTCCTCCTGGGTGTGTCTAGACTCTACTAGGGTGGTATGAAGCTTGACGAGAGCCTGCCCACATTTATAGCTGTTCCCCTGCCCGAAGGAAAGCATACCCACAGTCGGAGCAGCGCCAAATCTGAAAAATAACTGAATTCAACTTCCTGTTTACTTCGGACTGGACTTCCGAGCCGGCCGGCTGGTTTTCATCGAGTGCCTATAAAAGAAGGGCTCTCCCTTCCGATTTTCATCGAGTGCCTGCAGCGACTAGAGACAATCTATTTCCATCGATCGTGTCATGAGCCAGCGACCTAGTACGACGATCAGGAACTTGTAGTACGCCGATGGCCGCGTCAGCCAAATCGCTCCACCCGACACCGTCGGACCTCACCGTGCAGCAGTGCCACTATCCCTGCCCCTGCGACGTCGAGTATGATGATTCGGTGGAACTGTCCTTGCCTCCGCGACCGCCGATCCCCAGGGAGCTCATGGACGATTTGGGCATAGGTTTGGACACCGGCGACGTCGGCGAGAACGCGGACCTGTTCAGGCAGTTCATGGCCCTGGAGAAGGAGCTCGACCTGCTTGAGTGCGAGGAGGAGGACCTGCGGATCGAGATCGCGGACCTGCTGCCCATGGTTCGGCTCATGGAGGCAGAGCACGAGTACCAGCACAAGACCAAGTGCGGCGGCGCCCTAATCGTCGGCCACGTCGTCGAGGTTGTCGACGAGGGCCACGCTGTCGTGACCACCAGCGCCAGGCCCTTCGCCTTCTGCGTGCCCGTCCTCGGCGACGTGGACCGCGCGCTCCTCAAGCCATCGGCCAACGTCGCGCTGTCAATGTCGAACCTCGCGGTCGTCCAAGTGCTGCCGGCGGACTCCGGCTGGACCGTGCCCCTCGTCAATGCCACCGAGAGGCCGAGCGTCACCTACGCGGACGTGGTCGGGTGCGAAGAGCAGAAGCGGGAGGTGCTCGAGGCCGTGGAGCTGCCGCTGACGCACCCGGAGCTGTTCGCCCGTGCCGGCGTGGAGGCGCCGCGCGGCGTGCTCCTGCACGGCCCGCCGGGCACCGGCAAGACCATGCTGGCCAAAGCCGTCGCGCATCACACGTCGGCGGCCTTCATCCGCGTGAGCGGCTCGGAGTTCGTGAACAGGCACCCGGGCGAGGGGCCCAGGATGGTCCGCGAGGTGTTCCAGGCCGCCCGCGAGAACGCGCCGGCCATCATCTTCTTCGACGAGGTGGACGCGATCGCGGCGGCGCGGACCGACTCCGACGACGCCTCGGCCGCCGACCGCGAGGTGTACAGGGTGCTGCTGGAGCTGCTCGCGCAGATGGACGGCTTCGACCAGTGCCCCGACGTGCGGGTGATCATGGCGACCAACCGCGCCGACGCGCTGGACCCGGCGCTGCTGCGGCCGGGGCGCCTGGACCGCAGGGTGGAGTTCCCGCTGCCGGGGAGGGCGCAGAAGCGGCGGCTGTTCCAGGCGTGCACGGCGGGGATGCCCCTTGACGGCGGCGTCGACCTGGAGGACCTGGTGGCCCGGCACGAGGAGATGAGCGCCGCGGACATCGACGCCGTGTGCCGCGAGGCTGGCATGCGGGCCGTGCGCGACCGCCGGTGCGTGGTGACGCGCGAGGACTTGGAGGAGGGCTACCACGCCGTGGCCAAGCATATCGACCGCGGTGCTGACCAGTTCGCGTTCTACAGCTTATAGTAGAAAAACTTGTTCCGTCGTGGTCATTTTTGTTCAGCTTCTCAGACCAAACGGGAGTCATGTATTCACGTTTACACCTGTTGAGCTGTAGAGACATGCTTGCTCGCTGTAGGTTGGGTGTTCGATTATACATCTATACTCGGTCCTCCTCTCATATTTTAGGTCAAAATTTGGTCATGTATATAACGAAATTGCTAAATTTCGACTTCTCAGTCCATTGAGACTTAAGTGTCGATGCTTTATTCATGAATTCTTACGTGAAGATCTGTGTAATTTTTTGTAAAAAAAAGTCCATTGAAACTCATATTTTTTATAATTTTTTGGAAGATCACGCCCTTTCGTCCCCATCACATCTTTTATGTTTTGCGTTTCGACCTGAATAAAATGACCGATGCCGAAGCTCCCCGGCTCGCCGCCCTCGTTCCCAGGCAGCCACACTGACCGTCGCTTGTAGTTGTAGCAAAACGTGCAACCGGTTTTAGCTCTTTTTCGCCGGCCGGCGGGGTCTCGTTCTTCAACTCCTGTGTCGCCCTAGGTTGCAGCATACGTCGTTTACGGTTGTAGCTCCCGCCGTGGACGCTTCTAGCTTGCTGCACCCCCATGGTCCCGCTTCTGGTCTTCAAGCTCTGACAAAAATGCCGCCCGTGGCCGCCGTGGCCGTTTGTAGCACCGTTGATGCCGTTCTAGCAAAAAACTTGTTGCACCAAAAATTGCCACCTCGTAGTAGCACCGAGTTCCAGCCGGTTCCAGCATCCCCTCGCCATGATTCCAGCATTTTGCCACCGTGGTTGCAGCAAACGTCGGCGTGGTCACCGTCGGGAGTTGCTGCTTCCAGCATCTCCCGCCCATGGTTCCAACGTCTGCGCCATGGATCTAGTATCCGCACTCCACGGTTGCAGCACTGTTGTCCCCTTGTGGTTACCATGGAAGCTCGGACACTACTCATGGTCGCGGGAATTGCCAGATGCAGTTCCAGCATCTGGGCATGGCAGTGCCAGCATGTTAGGTGCATGGTTGCAGCACGTGGACCGTGCGAAGATGCAGCTGTAGATGGCCCTCGGCGTCAATGGTGGAAAGAGGGGAAAAGAGGAAAGGCTTGCCAAAGAGGTAGAAGAGTAGCAAAGGGGATTCGCCGGTGGTGGGGCTCATCAGAGCTTGGATGTGGCGGCGCAAGCAAGAGGTGAGGAGGCGAGGCAAGAGGACCAGCGCTCTTGGGGAAAAGAAAGCAAGTTGAAGAAATCGGTAAGTATGTGCGTGAATTGTGTCGATGAGTGGTACATGGATAAGAACGTGTATGGTGCGCGTGCGACCCACAAACGCAGAGTGTGTGTGCATGTCTGCGAGAGAAAAAGAGCGAGCGCCACCGGACGATTGAAACGTTTCCCATTTTTTTTTGAACTAATTATCTCTCTTCTATATTGGTCTCCCCTAGCTACAAGGGCGTGACTAGGTCTCGATTAACTAAGATTTAACCAAGTGTCAGTCAAGTGATATAACATGTAAAAAAATCATAGCAGAAAAGTTTACACCGATGTCAATGTAAGATCTCACGAATATAGTATCGACTAAGACATAACCAAGTCCCAGCTGAATAAGATTTAGCAACACTATTACAACAATGCATCAACCTCCACCGCGCTCCGCTGCATCCTTTTATTTTTGAGAAAATACGTTATATAACATTGTTTTAAATACTGTTTTCTTATTTGACACCGCAAAACTTTTAATTCCCTATCTAACATTGTGTCTAAATTTTATGTTTTTTATGACACGTCCGTCCATTTTGAGCCTTAACGGTGTCAAATGATACCTGAAAAGACCCATTTGCCCCTCATTGGTTTGTGACCAAAATTTTGGGTGGTAGTTTTGCTTTAGCATGTGACTCTATCTGGATGGTGTTCGACGCAAGTTTGTACCAAAGAGATATTAATTACTGAAATTTTTTCTTGAATGCGGAATATACAGGGAAGGAAAGTTGCCTCAGTACATGCATCCAATGGTCAGCCGAGGCCGAGGCACAACCTCGAGCCTGGTGTTCATCAATGTGGTCGACTGCATGAACTCTGGCCCGCCAGCCACCATCATGACCAACCGCGGCGCTCCGCACAAGCTGTCTGAAAGTGTTTGTTCCCTGTATGGCTAAATACACGTAAAATTGCGGCCATATATCACATGAGGGGCTAATAGTCTTTTTCAGGTGTCATTTAACACCATTAAGGCTGTAAATGGATGGAAGTGTTACAAAAAAATTAGTGTTAAATAAGACAACAAATTTTAAGACAATGTTAAATAAGAAATTCTCTCTTTATTTTTCATCCGGGCTTATTGTTTCGAAAAAGAGGGACAAGAAACCTGGCTTATTTTTCAGTTTAGGAATTTTCTAGGGCTGTTTAATACTATAGTTTGTTTAATTCATATATAGATGTTTTCTAAGAATGTCACATCTAATCTCCCGCAAATAACGTAGCAACAAGGAATAAAAAGAAATTGAGACAAAAAAAAAAACATAGTGAACATCATATTAGATATGTCACATCTAGGTCTGTGCTAAACAGACCCAACTATACTCTCTTTGAGCAAGCTCTGGATCTCCGCCGCGAACTTCTCCATGGCCATGGTTGGCAGTGCGACCGGCACTGCCACCGCATCCGCCCCGTCGCTGTTCTTGACTGCCACAAAGAAGGCGCTCCCGAACTTGATGCCAGAGGGCCCGCCGTACACCGGCTCGCCCCACCCGAAGTCCACACGTTGGAACCCAACGTGCCGGAGGTCAGACAGAAGGAACATATTTGCCCTGGCCAAAGGCGGCCGCCCACGGAGCACCAGAAGGTCCGCCGTGGAGCGCATATACTCGGGGGTCACCGACGCCTTGGCCTCCCGCACCTGCTCCACCACCTCCGCCAACGAGCAGCTGAGCAGCGTGCCGGCGGCCATCACCACGGTGACGTACGCGCAAGCGAAGCCGTCGTAGCCGGCGGGGAGGCGCAGGGCGGTGCTGTGCCTCCTCACGCTGACGACGGTCACCAGCCGTGCCTCCTCGTCGGACCAGAGCGTCCTCAACGCCGCCGTGCGGGCGCGCCACAGCACCGCCGCGAGCACCTCGAAGCTCGTTGCCCTGTCTCGGAGGTGAGGCGGCATGACTTTCTCGATCGCGGCGACTTCCGAAGGGCCGAACACGAAGGCGCGCCTTACAATGTCATCCTCGGTTGGTGTCTGCGTCCGAGGCACTGGATCGTACTCGCGGTGCGGGAATGCAGGCGTTGGGGGGCTTCGCGCGTCAAGAACCTCGCGAGACCAGGCAGGTGCGACGGTCGGCGCAGGAAGGCCTCGAGCGAGCTCGGCGACGGCGTTCAGGAACTGGATGAACCCCGCGGCGTCGCACATGGTGTGGTTGAAGCTATGCCACACGGCGAAGCCGCCGCACAGGAGCCGCGTCACCTGACCATCGGCAAGAAAAGTTGTTAGCCTCTAACTGTGCGTGGATAATGTGTGTGCTCACGTGCAAATATGAAATGCTTAATTACCTGAATGATCACCAGGGGGCAGTTGAGCAGAGCGCTGGAGCCGTCCACCTCGAAGCAGAGCTCCTCAATCCACGGGAATGGCGGCATCAGCCCGGGCACGTCGGCCTCGAGATCCGCCAGTCGCACGTCGGCGTCCGCCTTGACGAACGTCACCCCTTGGCCGGTGCAGTCGACGACCAGTTTCCGGTTTCCCACCTCGCGCAGCCGTCCGGCGAGTGGGTAGTAGTGCACCAGCGCCTCGGACAAGGCTCGGCGGATGATGTCCACGGGGTCGTCGCGCGCGAGCCCGCCGCGGCGGTAGAAGAAGATGCCGCGGATGTGCGACCGCAGCTCGTCTTGGTCGTCGACGTCGGAGAGGCGCTTCTTCTCGCGCGGTGTCCTCGGCGAGGCTGGGCCGACGAGCACGGGCTCTCTCCAGAGCACGGTGAAGCTGAGCGTGGACATGACAGGGTGTTCTAATTTTGTTCCGTTGTTTCTGCATGGAAAAGGTATCAAGTGTCCGGAGTCTTGTGCCAATGTACTGTTACACACGCGCCGTTCGTTCCTAATCCATTACTGTACTGTTACACCTTTGCCAAATGCCTCGGACCAATCGTTCCTAATCCATGTACTGTACTGTTACACCCCTTCACCCTTGGGCACGTGTAGGCTCAGGTCATGGGTGCTGTAATCATCGAAACATTCTCATCAAGATAACAAATAACAATAATGCTACACCTACGGAGAATATATAAATGATTTACTTGATTTTTCAAACTAAATTCTCTCTCTCCCACCTAAATTCAACGGAAAAACTAACGCCCACACGTGTGGGCATTTGCACATCGCTTACACGTGTGGGCGTTTGCACATCGCCCACACGTCTCCATCACCACTCATTTTCCCACGTATGAACAGATCACATCAGCAGATTTTTTTTGGTTTTCGGCTTAAAAATGTTTTATCTCCTAATTAAAAAAGCGAATTAAATTTTTTTTTCATCATTAAATCCGTCTCGACGAGATCTTCAAAACTAGACCCCATGTTGATGGCAACTCCAGTACTTTGACCATGAAAATATTTTTTTTGTATAAACCATGGCAATTTTTTAAGTGCATGTATCATGGCAATTTTAGTTTATGGTGCATGACAAGTCTAGTTTCTTAATTCCCCGTTTTATAATATGTCAAAATTTACTTTTAAATATAGAAAAAAATAGATGAAACATATCATGGCAACTTCAGTGTAAATATAATGGCAATTCATGTGCAATAGACACGGCAACTTTTAACAAAAAAAAATTCGTCGAAATATATTGATATGAGATCTAGTTTCGAAGATCTCATCGCAAGGGATTTTCAATCGGATTTTTCATTTACGAGATAAAACATTTTAAAGACAGAAAATCCAAAAAAAATCCACATACACGCATGCGGTGACACGGCGCAGTCTATGCGTTATAGGACGTGTGGGCGGGTTTGACTCCCAACACACGTG